CAGTTTGGTTTCAATGCTCCATTGACACAGTCCTCCCGTTTGCATATTACATAAATCTTAGCCCTCATGATGGTCTATACGGTGGGGCAGAGTATTGAACCAACATTTCCCATAGAACTATGGAACGGCTATCAATGGACGTGTGACAATCCGCCAAAACCAAATAACAGTGTAGAAGCTTTTACAATGTAAAACAAAACCAAACAAAACCAACTAAAACTAAACTAAGACTAAAAATAAATAAATAAAAATAGAACTACCTTACAATCCAGTAATCACACTACTGGGTATTTACCCAAAAAATACAAAAACATTAATTCAAAGGGATACATGCACCCCTATGTTTATAACAACATTATCTACAACAGCCAAATTGTGAAAGCAGCCCAAGTGTCCTTCGACTGACAAATGGATAAAGATGTGGTATATATATACAATGGAATATTACTCGCCATCAAAAAGAATGAAATCTTGCCATTTGCAAGGATGTGGATAGAACTAGAGGGTATTATGCTAAGGGAAGTAAGTCAGACAAATACCATATGATTTCATTCATATGTGGAATGTAAGAAACAAATGAACAAATGGGGGAAAAAAGAGAGAAACCAAGAAACAGACTCCTAACCATAGAGAACAAACTGATGGTTACCAGAAGGGGAGGTAGGTGGGGGATGGGTGAAATAGGTGATAGGGATTAAGAAGTGCACTTGCGATGAGCAATGGGTGTTGTATGGAAGTGTTGAATCGCTCTATTGATTCTAAAGAGAGAGATACCTGTTTCCAAACACTAGGATGCGTATTTATTTATTTATTTATTTTTAATTTATTTGAGAGAGAGACAGAGCATGAGAGGGGGGAAGACCAAAGGGAGAAGCAGACTCCCCGCAGAGCGGGGAGCCGACTTGGGACTCGATCCCGGAACTCTAGGATCATGACCTGAGCTGAAGGCAGTCGCTTAACCAACTGAGCCACCCAGGCGCCTCTCTTAATGAAGGAAGAAAGTTTAGCAAAAAAAAGAAAAAAATGTGATACGAGATGAATAAAAATAAGACCAAAAAAATGCGTAATACTAGATTTTGAAAACAAGTGCATAGGTACAATCCACAAAACAAAACCAGTTATTTGCACAGAATCTCCACCCGTTTTATTTATTTTATTTTTTTATTTTAAAGATTTTATTTGTTTGACAGAGACGCAGCGAGAGAGGGAACACAAGCAGGGGGAGTGGGAGAGGGAGAAGCAGGCTTCCCGCCGAGCAGGCAGCCCGATGTGGGACTAGATCCCAGGACCCTGAGATCATGACCTGAGCCAAAGGCAGATGCTTAACCGATGGAGCCGCCCAGGCGCCTCCCCCTCCACCCATTTTAAATGTATTCAAATATTTTACATTTCTCAGCAAAGTCTTGGTAATTGTTTTCCATGTTTCATTAGGTCCTTTTTGCTGAATGTCCCTCTTTTACGTTTCTTGATTTTATCTTTTATGGCAACACTGCCTTATGGCCAGTCATGTGGCTGTTTGCCACGGAAATGCTTGCAACAAGGACGCTTGCAGTAAGAATGTCTGCCGTGCCACTGAACGTGGCCACTCAGGAAGCCCTCAGCAGCAGCCAGGACCTGCAGTGGGGCTGTGAATGACACAAACCCTGACCAGCAGTGCTCTGAGTAGAGAGGGGCTCCTTTTTCTATTGTGACTGAAAGGCAGCCGAAGGGGCTGGGCAGAGCTGTCAGAGCCCCAGGCTCCGCTGGGCTGCCACTTCCTGCTCCCTCGCCCCGGGGTTTTTCCAGCTCAGTGTTGCCTGACATTTGCTGCGCACCTGGGGGTCATGTCCAAGTTCTGGGGTGGGGGCAGAGGGAAAGAGGCGCAACCCTGCCTCCATCAGCAAAGCAGCTGCTTCTCCACAAACCCCACACATTGCATGAGCTTCATGTGGCTATGCCTGGTTGCCAGGGGCAGCGAATGTTCTAACCAGACAGTCACTGTCAGTGAGGATGAATTCAGAGAGGATTCCAGGCAGGTCAGCCTGCCAACACCGCCCTGTGCACACGTCCTGCTGTTCAGCACATAATTATCGAGCCCCTATCGGGGCCAAGTGTATTACCTTTCTATTGCTCCTAGAACAAACGACCACAAACTTAGCAGCTTAAAACAACACAGATTTATTATCTCACAGTTTTTTTGAGTCAGAAGTCCATCATCAAGTGACCGGGTCTTCTGCTTAGGGTCTTGTATGGCTGAAGTCAAGATGTCTCTAAGTCAACTAGGGAAGAACCCACTTCCAAGTTCATTCAGGTCGTTAGCAGAATTCAGTTCCTTGTGGTCGTACCGCTGAGGCTCCTGGCCCCCTTATCTTCAGAACCAGTAATGGTACATTGAGTCCTTCTCCTGCTTTGAGTCCACTTCCCCTTCTGCCGCATCTCACCGAGAGTCTAGCTGGAGAAAATTCTCTGCTTTTAAGGGCTCATGTGATTACATTGGGCCCACCCAGATAATCCATGATGATCCCCCTATCTTAAGGTCTATAACTCTAATTACATCTGTGTAGTGCCTTTTGCCACGTAACGTAACATATTCACAGGTTCCAGGGATTAGAGCGTGGACATCTTTGGAGGCCTTCTGCCTACCACTGAGGCAACGAGCCAGGAGGTGGGCATACAGCAATGGCCGAAAAGAGACAGTCCCCTCTCTTATGGAGCTTAACCATCCAGCAAGGAAACACTAACTCACAAATAGAAATGTGGTGATGGCCTTGAAGGACAGGAGAGGTGCTGGGCACGTTACAGGACCACATTACAGCCTGAAGCTCTGGGGCTTTCCCAAGGAACTGAGGCAGGTGAGGGAAAGTGAATGCAAACTGCATTTCAGGACCAATGCAAGAGCCAAGAGCCAGGAGCATGGTACTGAAGGACAGTGCACAAGACTCAGGGAACAAGGGAGGGTGCTGCTAGACGTGGGGTGGGGAACTGCTTACCCAGGGCATTGTGGCAGTACCACCTCCCGTATCAGTGGGGACTCTCATCAGTATTTAGGCCACGTGGTCCTCACAACACTCCTCTGTAAGGCAGACACTATCATCCTTAAATTACAGGTGGGGAAACTGAGTCTCAGACAGGTTAGTGAGGCGTCCACGCTAGTAAGGGGTGGGACGGGGAATGAGATCACCTCCCCAGATGCCCTTCTAGAAAGATGGCACTGACTGCTACTGGGGAGGGTCAGAGTAAATGGTAAATAGCTCGGAGGCTGTCTGGATCAGGGAAGACTGCCCTAGGCTAAAGAAACAACCCGAAATTTGCAGTGGCTCACCTACTGGGGCATCGCCCATGTTTGCTCGTTTGGATCCATCTCGGCACATTCCACCATCTCAGAGAACCAGGTGCTGGCTCTTGAATCTTCTGCCTGGAGTCACTCTTGTCCCTTCTGTTCACATTCCATTGGGCCAGGCAAGTCATATGGCCAGATCCGCTGCCAGGGGGGCAGAGAAATAGACTCCTCCCCCAGGAAGAGCAGTCCACCATGGTGTTATCAGAGTCCATGCTAGGCCAAAGATGAAGCCAGCTAGCTTAAACTAAGGTGGTGGTGGTGGGAGGGGCTGGGATCGGGGTGGGGGGGGCAGAGAAGGGAGGTTAAGGGTGACAGTGGGGGGAAGCACATTTCACTGGCAGGCCAACAGGTGTGGGAAGAAAAGTCACACACTTGGATTTGCACACAGGGGACAGGAAGTGCCGAATTGGCTACTGAACTCGGAGGAGGGCCCCGGGCTGTAGACAAGGCATGGAGTGCATCAGTCCATCAATGGTAAGCGAGCCCTGGGCGCAAGGTGTGAGAGTGAGGAGGGAGGTAGCCTGGGGCCCAGCCGGAGGAAGCAACACTTGCAGGTTATTTGCACAACCGGGCCATGGGACCTACTTGATTGGATGCTGGCTGGTCCCACAGGCACGAGTGTCCTTGCTGTATCACATGGCCACAGTCAAGGCCAGTGTGTGCTGTGCCCCCTTAACCAGATAGCACCTGCCAGGTGCCAAGGAGAGCTCTGTGCCCCCTCCAGAACCCGAGAGAGATCTGCTCCCCAGCACAGCACCCTGACCAGCGGGGCTCCTCAGAGGGGGAGTGGGTGGCCGCTTAGCCACAGGCCCTTCTGCCCAGTGATGGCAAGGCCTGCAGGCATGGCCAGGGCCCCAATCCAGCCACTGCTCTCTCCTCTTCCTGCCGGGTCATGGCTATCTTCATTCACCCATTCGTTCATTCAGCCAATATTTAGTCTGTGTCTCTTGTATGCTTGGCACCCACTAGATGCCCCCTGAGCTTACCATTAGTGGAAAAGACAGAAAGAATTCTCTAAGGACTCTCAGGAAGGGCATCCCTACAGGACTTAACTAGGGTGACGCTTCCCTGAGGAGCAAAAGCTCGCAGAACTGCAGAGAAGTTGTTCAGGGGAGCAGGGGCTTGGGGGTGGGCTCTGAGACTGAGTTGCTGACCACCTCTGGCCTATGGAGCCCTGTCTAAGCCTCGGCATCTCCCAGCGTCCTCACTCACCTTAAAGAGCAAGGTGCAGGGAAGGCACCTGGATAGTGACTCTGACTCTGACTCTACCTTGGATGCCCCCCTTCTGCCTGCAGCAAGGACTACCTCTCCCCATCTCTCTCTCTCTCTCTCTCACACACACACACACACACACACACACACACACACACACACGGCCGAGTAAACATCAGTGACTAAATGAAAGGACTAACAAAGAAACGAAAGACAAGCAGATTTCTGGCCGCCACGGGGAGAACGGCTTTCAGAGGGTGCATGGGGCCGGGACGCCAACGCCCAAAGTCCCGCCAAGGGGCGGGGGGGGGGGGGGCAGACTCCTCCGTCGGCGATGACGTCACCAGTCGGATGGCTGCGGCCGCACGGGGGCGGAGCCTCTGCCTGCGGTGACGTCACCAGTTGGGAGAGACCCGCAGTCGCACGGAGGCGGGGCCTCCGCCGGCGGTGGCGTCACAGGAGGCGGGGCCGCGGCCGCGCTAGGGGGCGGCACCGCGCGGCGGTCACGTAGCTCAGGTTCTCGGGCTGCTACCGGACGCGCGTCGGTTAGTTCCTGTGCACCAGTCCCCGCCGTTTCTCCGCCAGCATGCCGATGTTCGTGGTGAACACCAACGTCCCCCGCGCCTCCGTGCCGGACGGGCTCCTCTCCGAGCTCACTCAGCAGCTGGCGCAGGCCACCGGCAAGCCGGCCCAGGTTTGCCGGGAGCGAACAGGGAGGGAGAGGGGGTGCCGGCCGGACGAGGTGGTCCCGGGCTGGGGGGCGGGGGAGGCGACTCCGGGTTGAGGCTCTGGACGGGGAAGGGACGAGGTGGGGGGTTGTCCGGGGCCGCCTGACCGCACCCCGTCTCCCCACAGTACATCGCGGTGCACGTGGTCCCAGACCAGCTCATGGCCTTCGGCGGCTCAAATGAGCCGTGCGCGCTCTGCAGTCTGCACAGCATCGGCAAGATCGGAGGCGCGCAGAACCGCTCCTACAGCAAGCTGCTGTGCGGCCTCCTGGCCGAGCGCCTGCGCGTCAGCCCGGATAGGTGAGTGGGGCGGCGGGGGTCCCCGAGGGGCGGGTGGGGGGGCCCTCAACCCCCCTGAGCCTGGCGTCCACGCCCCGCAGGATCTACATCAACTACTACGACATGAACGCGGCCAACGTGGGCTGGAACGGCTCCACCTTCGCGTGAGGGCCACGCCTGCCTGACCCGCCTGCACCAGGCCCTGCCACCCGCAATATTGTGCCCGCTTCGCGCCCCCCCCAGCGACCTCCACCTCCAAGTCGGGATAAATAAACGGTTTGGAGGCTGCATCTGCCTCGGGCTTCCTTGGTTTTCGGAGGAGTGGGTGCAGGGCTGGAACAGTGACCTGGGAACCGAGGCCGGGAGGGTTGCCCCCTTGGAATCTACTGTTACGGTCCTTTCTCCTAGTTTTGCCCCATCAGAGGCCCCAGCCTTGATTGGCATCTTGCCCGGGGCCACAGACCCAGGAATCAGACTCAGATCGGAGCCTTCCATTCAGCTTGCGGCTTTGGCCTCCCAGCGCAGGTTCCTGATTCCGCCCTTGGCGGGAACCCAGAGTTTAATCCATTCCCGCCCACAGGGGCAGGGCAACCACGTGGGCTCCGGCTGGCTGGCAAAGAGTGGGAGGTAGAGGTGGGGATCAAAATCTGATTGGCCTGAGGGGTTGGAGAGTCCGCCTGGTCTGGACCTTTCTCCCAGCCCACCTTCCTCCATCTTCCAGATGGGCAAAGGGTACCCTGGGAGAGAAAGCCTTCCCCCGTGTGCCACAGGGTCAAACCCTGCTAGGCTGATGCCCTAGTTTCTTGACCTAGAAAGTCCCGTTGTTCTGGAACTTTGGGACAGTTTTCCAGTGGGGGTGGGGAAGTGCACAGGAGACAGAGTCCTTGGTTATACTGCCCTGTCTGCCCCGGAATCTGGGCTCTGGTCTCCTCAGGCACCCAGGTCGCCACCACAGCAGTTCCTGGAGACAACACGCGACCTGTAGTTTTGGTGCCATTCATGTTTACCAAACAGTGGCTCTGGAAAGCCTTCAGGTGTTAGTCAACCCTGCAACGGAACGTCCTGGCCATGGGGGCACTGTCAACAACAAAATCAGTATCAAGGCACAATGTGCCTAGAGTCTAACTGGTCCAAGGGCCCTCCAGCCAAGGGCACGGGCTCCCCTATGGGGGTGACGGATAGGGCAGTGGGCAATTCTATGCCCACACTTGGGCTGTAGGAGCCTCAGCTGCCTTGCCACTTCCCAGAGCCAGGTGCCTTTGCGCTAGAATGCCTCGGTGGCCTGCAGTGTGAGAGGCTCCATGCGCCCTGGCAGCAACTCCTTCCAAGTGAGCCCCAGCCACTAGCCCTGGGAATTCATGTGCCTGAAGCTGGCCCAGGTCAGCCAGGGAGGACCAGCTCAACCCTTCCTGCACTGCCTGGCCTATGGGAGAAGTTCATTTCACCTGCTTGCACAGGGAGGGGGTTCCTCTGGCCACATGAACCCCATTCCTGGGGTCTCGGGAGAGGTGGGGGCCTCACTTCTGGACTCCTGCTGGCTCTGCACCTTTGGGACCCCTTACTCTTTCTTGCTCAGCCTCTAGTAGGCCAGCTTATCTTAGATGGAAGATGGGTTTTTAAAAACACTGAATTTAAGTGAATTTGCTTTCGAAAGCTGAGGGGCTTTGGGGAAAGGGTTGCTGCCGGGGCAAGCCTTTGGAGGCTGTTACTGCCTTTCTGACATTGGGAGTGAGGAACAGGCCTGCCTTTTGAGCCACAGGCAGTGACAAGGGCCGCCTTGTGTGTGTAGAGAGGCCTGGGGCCGGCAGTGGCCACGGGCTCCTTCCTTGAGATGGCTATCAGTGGTCTAGCCCCTGCAGCACCCACCATCCCTGCATGAGTCCCCTCTGTGGCATCACCATGAACAACACTGCCCATCCCAGGCTTGAAGCAGAAGATGAGTCACACTTGTCCTCTGATTATGGCAACCTCAGAACAACCCAGGCCCCAGGGCTACGGAGCCCAGGCAGCCCAGGCAGCCAGCACTTCACACAGGGATCCACTCCCTCTCTCCCTCCCTCCCTCCTCTCCCATCACGGAATTTTTGGCAGTTTGTCCTCTGAGCTAGCCCATCCTCACTTACCAGTTTGCTAGTCAAGATGCCTAAGGACTACTCTGCTTCTCAGTTTAGGTCTGGGGGGTGGGGGTGGGGGTAGTCTCCCCTTCAGCCCCATGTCAACTCAGGCCTAGGTAGCAAGGATTTATTTCCAGAGAACGGTAGTAGTGATGGTTGGGGTCACGTTTCAAAAGAGGAAGGAAAGTCGGTTCAAGGGAATCTGGAAAGGTGTTTGCCCATCTTTGGGGGTGGAGAGGGGATGCTCCTCTTCCACAAAGATCTCTGAGGGTCTTGCTCCAGCTCCCTCAGTGAAAGGGCTGGTGAGTTGGGCGTGGGGGGGATGGTGGCATGGCTCCAGCTAAAGCCAGAAGGTCTACTGCCTGGCTTGTGAGCTGGGGCCTCCTTCATGGATCTGAGCACCTGCTGCTCCCACCCCAGCCCTGGCCTTTGTCACAAGCCCTCAGCTCCCATGTGACCCCCGCTCCCAACACAAAACCTTTTTCCTCTGCTGGCTGCGTGCAGACCTGCCATTTGTGTCTGCCTCTCAGATCCTGCACCATCCCTGGTCAGGAGAGTGCAGGGGCACGGGTCTCCACGAGTATCGAGCCCAACTCCCTCATTTCACAGATGAGGACATCGACCCCAGCTGGCCTGGCCACCTCCCAGGACTCAGCCACACATTATCCCTAGTACTCCCAGTTAGGGCTCACCTTGTGGTCTCACATGAGCAATGGGGGTCTTCCAGGGCTGAAGGGGCAGACAAGACAGTCTGGGCTCCCGCTCTGTTTGGGAAGACCGAAGCCCACAACCAGGAGGGCTGAGCACAGCCTGCTGCCCCCACCCCACCCCCAAGAAACCGGGGAGTGTCAGGCTGAGGCCAGCTGGGGCATCAAGGCAGTGGCTCTTTGGAATCCATGGAAAAGGTGGGGCATCTGTGAGTCAGGAACCCCCTTGTTGGCCCTGCCCACTGCTCCCAAGTCCCCTGGGACCGGCAATGCCCCTTACGCCGAGAAAGGCTACCGCTGCATCCCATTCAAGCCATATCCTGCCCCCCCTCAACCCAGTCATGCCCTGGCCAGCCCCCTTTATTCCAAAGTGTGGGCTCTGGTGCCCATTGAGCAGCCTGTCCCTTCCTTGAACCCCAGTGGCTGCCCCAGGGCATCCTTGAAAAAGGCTGCAGAAACTCATTTCCAAATAATACCTCAAAGTGAGGTGTGGAACAGATGGGGGGCGGGGCACAGACTGCCTCCTGCTCTCCATCAACCCTCCAGTGGTACCATGTCATCTGCCAATAAAAACCTGACTGTCCTCACAGCCACTGTTTTCGAGAGAAGGCCGGCCCTGACAGCCTCCGACCTCACCTTGCAGGTGCTGTTCCTTCTGCATGGAATGCCTGTCGCGTCCGCCCACTTTGAGCCCCACGCCATGCCTTTCTGGAAGGAAGCCCTCCCTGAGGCCACCCAGTGCAGGATGACACCAACGCCCCTCTGCTTCGGCCTAGGCCTTGTGAGCTGGGGTTTCTCTTCCTGTATCCCCCAGCAGCCTGTGCGCATGGCGAGGCGGCGGCCCCCGGCTCTGACTTTTGGGCCAATGCCACAGGAGCCTATCAGAGCTGGTCTGTTCTGGGGAGCCGGCAACGCAGGTCTCCTCCCATCCTGTCACCCCCACCCCCACATGCCTTCATTGCAGACCCCCCACTGCTCCCTCCCCCAGCCTCAGGAGAACCCTGCCCTCAGGGCCACCTCCCCTCTATCCACCACTTTTGGGAGCCAGGGCTAGGGGAAGGGGCAAGGTTAGCAGGTAGCCTATGCCTGTACTTGGGTCTTGATAAATTGTGAAGCCCCTTCCTTGGGTGGGCAGAGAAAAGACCAGGGGGTGTGGGCAGGTATCTTCGAGGTAGGCCCCATCCAGAGCTTGGAGGTGCCCACGGGGAAGGAGGGGGGAGGGCTGAAAGGGGGCAGGGCACATGGCCTCTGCAGGAATAGGAATGCAGCTGAAATGTTCCCTGTGGACTCCGGCCCACACCGAGGGGCCCACCAGCCACAGGAGCTGGTGGGTCAGACCATGGGGCTTACCCCGCAGCCTCGAAAGCAGTAGGTAGAAAGAGTGCAGTTTTCTGGGGGAGGTCAGTTGACCCCCCCCAGCCGCCAGAGATTAGGAGGTTTCCAACGTTTCTGGGCTTCTATCTTCCTTGACTTCTTGCCCCACTGAGCAACTAAGTGTTGGCCCCCCAAACTGTGTTTCTGTAAAGCTTTCTCTTGCCGCTCCAGCTCCCTTCCCAGCTGAGCGGTTGCCCAACCCGATCCCAACCCTCCAGGCCTCCCAGGGAGAATTCCAGAACTAGGGTGAAGGGGGAGGGGAGGGGTGTGGCACAATGCAGACCCACCAGCCATTTGCCCAGATTTCCCCTCCTTGTTAAGTGAGCCCACCTCTCTTCTGTGTTTGAAGGGCACATATAAGAGCCAAAAAGTTGTGAGTTTTCGGAAATTGGCTCTGTCCCCTTGCTCCTGGAGCCTGAGTCTCCCATCTCGAAACAATGGGGTCTGGCCTCAATATGCCCATAGGTCTGACACCGAAGACAGGACTCCAAATCCAAAAGCTACAAGTGAGAAGTCTCAGCCCCCTTGTTCCCCTATGACTTCATCCCCCCCCCCCCCCGCCCCCAGTGACCCAGTTTCCTGTGTATCTAATTCTATTCTCATTTTAATCAGTGATATCTTTACACGGCTCAAATTCAAAGCATTCCAAGGATCCCCAAAGAGAAGGCTCCCTCCCACTCCCTCCCTCCACAGGATTAGCCTCTCAGAACCACCCCCCCCCATATTTTATGCATATGCAAGCAAATACGCATAACATCTCCTTCCAGTGGTAGCATATTCTAGGCTAGTTTTGCACTTTACTTTTTTTTTTTCCACTTGAAAATTTATGTTAGTACCTGAAGAATCTCCAGTATTCCCTTGTTTAGGACCAGCCACGTTTCCTTTCAACTAGTTTCTGTCCTGAACGGTTAGGCTGATTCCAGCCTTCTGTTCTCAGCTCTGATATACTGAACTGAACATGTGTAAGTATATCTGTAGAATAGGCTCCTGGAAGTAGAGTCGTCTGGCCAAGGGGGTGCTGTTTTAATATGACCTGACGTCCCGCTTAGAGCTGGGGCTTCTGGCACCACCCAGCTGGGTGAGGGAGGCTCTCC